ACTTTAACGTAAGATTCGAAAGAAGAAATGAATATGGAAGGAAATGCTACTTTTAATTCACTTCTAATTATAAATCCAACAGGGACTTGTGGGACTTTTATAAATTATTCAAGAATGTATATGGATGAACAAATGGTTATAAATATCAGAGAATATAACGAAAAAGAACCCAAGGGGAATAACCGGTCTTACTAGATACATGAACCTCTATTAACAACAATAAATAAAACAGTGTGAAACTAATACAGAGAGAGCAACATAACTCAGTGGAACCCAATGAAGAGTAAAAACTAAACCTAACTATCTATCAAACGTCTATTCAATCACCGCACAGTGAGTGATGACCATGCACTAGCACGTACCTTTCTACCCCAGGGACTCCAAGGTCAACAAGTCATGTCCTCATCTGGCATATATTCTGGGCGTGAAAGAACAGGAGGCAAAGAAACAAGATCTTTTCTACTGTCCTAAGTGCTCTGAAGGAGGTAAAAAGGATGATGCGACAGGGTTACTTCAGAGGGTGTCAGGAAAGTCTCTGAGGAACAGTATTTGAGCTGAGTCATGAAAGATGAAGAAGCCAGACATGTGAAGAGCTAAAGGGTGAAAGAACCTAGGCAAGAGCACTCTAGGGGACAGAACAAGTGCAAAGGCCCTGAGGCAAAAATGTACTTGTGTTTGAGGAACAGAAGGAAGGGTGGGACAGCTAGAGTACAGTGAAACTGAGTGTGTGTATGGTGAGGTCAGACGGAGAGAGATGAAGGAGCCAGATCACGTTGGGCCTGACAGGCTGTGAGAGGGAGTTTGGCTTTTACTGTAAATTTAATACATTATACATTGAGGTTTCTTCAACAAGGGGAGGTAAAAATGAATTATTTACATTTAATATAATTGTTTAGAAAAAATAAGTTAGTTTTGAAAATATTAGTTTTACAATAAACTAAGAAATACATAGGGGCTGGCCCCGTGGCCGAGTGGTTAAGTTCGCGCGCTCCGCTGCAGGCGTCCCAGTGTTTCGTTGGTTCGAATCCTGGGCGCGGACATGGCACTGCTCGTCAGACCACGCTGAGGCAGCGTCCCACATGCCACAACTAGAAGAACCCACAACGAGAAATATACAACTATGTACTGGGGGGCTTTGGGGAGAAAAAGGAAAAAATAAAATCTTTAAAAAAAAAAAAAAAAAAAAGAAATACATAGCAAATTACTTTTTCATTGATTATAAGACAGAGTATTATTTCTGTGTTAAGAAAAAAATCCTGTCAATTGTCATTGTAAGATGTCATCTATTGTAATACACATCCTGATTTTAGTTATTAAAGTGTGAAAAAATGTGCATCTTAGAATAGATGAAATATAGTATTATAAACCAGGATCCAGACTTCACTGGACAAGTGGTTCAATTATCTACAAAACATTTATGTGAAAAAGAACATTTCAGATTACACGTGGAAAAAATAGGCATGATTAATAAAATAAAAACTCAGCCATTTGAGAGGTACCACTCTACCTCTGCACAGAAATTTAAAATGACATATTTCAATGTTGGAGCCTGGAAGAAACATAAACTCCCAAGTCCTGGAGGTATTATAATTACTACAGCCTTCCTGAGTATCTACCAGCAACATGCATTAGAAATAGAAATATTAATTCCCTTTGACCCAAGAATTCTGTTTTCAGCAGAGTGTGAACAGGCACAACAGTTTGTGTAAAGACTTAGAGTAGTTTTATTCATGTTAATAAAAAAAAAAAAGGAAAATGGAAACAATCAAACTATCTAGTACTGTTCTGCTGCTCTACTGCCTGGATCAGCTGAGAACACTTGTTTTACCCCCACTGAAATGTTCTGCTTTGACCCACTCTTGAAACAGACAGGTAGGTCATGGCAAGCTGAGCAACAGAAAACGAGAGCAGTCCACGTTCCCGCTACACAGCCAGAGTCCAATGCCCAACTGTGGTGAGCAACGTTCCCCGGGATTCCCTCACATCACCCTGCCCTCAGACTTGCCCAGATGGGGCTCCTAGGGACTCTCAGCGACACTGAAGCCAGACCATGACCCAGAGTCTCTGTTCAGCTTATCTTCTCTTGGAAGCCTTCATCTAAAAGTGGCAAATTAACCCTTCCGTACACAGCTAAGTCTGTGCTTGCCACTCAGTTTTTCCAAACTAAGCAAAATCTCATTTAGGGAATATCCATCACATGGTAAGACTACAAATAGAAGCAAAGGAATGATCAACTCAAACGTCTGAGGAGGGAAGCAGTGAAGGAGGGGGATGGAAGTGAGGTTGGACATAAGGTACTAGCAACGTACTGTTTCCTAATCCGGGTGATAGGTACATGGGTGTTCATTTTACTGGCATTCTTTAAACTGTACAGGCATGTTTTACATATTTTTTTGTATAACCAACGTGTTTCACAATAAAAGTAATTTTAAAACAACAATAATCTTACTGGGATTCTGACTGGGTTTTCAGTCATTTATAATCCGGAAGTACTGACATTTTAATGAGTTTTCTCAAGAGGCAAAGGGTATGTTTTATTCACTTATTTTGCTCTTTTTTCATATGTTTAGTAGAGTTTGAAAGTTTTCTTCGTATAGATCTTGCACATTTTTATGTTTATTCCTGGGTATCTTATGGACCTTTTTGCTACTGTGAGTGGGCCCTTTTAAATACTATATTTTCTAACTTATTATTGTTAAAGGAAGGCTAATATTTATATGTTAAACGTGTATCCAGTCCCCTTACTGGGCTCTATTATTAGTTCTAATTGTTTTCCAGCTGATTGTTTTGGATTCTCCAGACAGACGATAAATTTACTGCAACCATTATATATTCTGAAGCCTAGTAAAGCCAATATCACATTACTGCCCTTTTTCCCTCAGATCACATTTTGCCTTTCTTGGCCATTCATTCTTCCCGATAAATTTTCCCTTCACCAGGTTCTATGAGATCTCCTGATGGAATTATACTTGGTTTCCCATTTAATCTATTGATTACTACTGTTATCTTTGCTTGACTCTTCCCAACAAGAGGAGGGCTTGTAGCTCTATCTTCAAGTATGCCTTTATGTTTTTCCTTTAAGATTTTACAATTTTATTGGAATCAATGTCACGCATTCCATACTAAATTAATTTCCAAACACTACATATCCTTTGTTACTACTGTAAGTGAAATTTCTTTAATTACAAATTTTCTAGCTGTTTTCATAGAAACAGGAAATTCAATTTTGATGGACTTACCTTGTATTCTGCCATTTTGTTGACATCATGCATTACTTATTACGATCTTTGCTATTTTTTTAGGTTTTCTAGGTACATAATTAGGACATCTTACAGTGATAACTTTCTCCTCCTTTACCATGTTACTTCATTTCTTTTTTTATCGCTCATTACAAATGTTTGTTCAAATTAGAGTAAACGAGACACCCTTGTACTCACGAAGGCCTGTAGACTTCTCCCCCAGGAAGGGGAAGAAAGATAGTTTCACTGTATACCAGACTTGATGTACTCTTTGAATTTTGAACCACATAAGTATTATTTCTTCAACAGTTTACACTAAATAAATATACATGCACTAAATAAGCAAATAAAAACGCTTCCTATGCCAATTTAAGAGTATTTCAGGAATATAATTTGGATAATCATTTCTCTTGGCATCTACTGATGCAATTATATCAATTTCCACTATTTTTCTTGCATTAAAACCTTCTATTGAGTGTTTTTTACTTAAGTGGCTTATTCAAGTCACTTAAAAGAAGCCCACCTAGAATTTCGTGAATAAAATTATGGAATTTTACTAAATTAATGGTTCCCAAGCTAGGGCCCCTACACAATTCAGTTTCCATGAAGGTAATGAAAAGAATCTGTACGGCATTTCTAATTTTCAAAAAGCCTGCCAAAATCATGTTTCACTATGTCAAGATTGCACAGACTAACTAAAACATCAAGTTTCTTTGCTTTAGCCTAGAACTACAAGTGAAAATATAAAGTAGAAATTATTAAATGTCATTTGGTTTGATACTTGAAAAAAATTTCAAAGCATGATGCGATACTGTAATTTATAATAAAAAGTATATATTTGATATTCACCTCCATTTGTAGCACAGAGCTCCTAAAAACCTTGGTATTTCCTAAGTGATAAAGGTGTCTTTTGCTTCACCTTATTAAGGTGACTTTTGGAAAGCAGCCAAGGATGAGGGCTGACTGCCAGGGAACCAGCCTCGTGATGAGAGGGTTGGGACTTTCAGTCCCACCCGCCCCTGACCTCCAGGGAGGGGAGAAGGCTGGGAGCAGAATCAATCATGCCTGTGTAATGAAGCCTCCACAAAATCCAGAAGGAGGGGGTTCAGAGAGCTTCTGGGTAATGAACATGTGGAGTTGTGGGGAGAGCGTCAGCACTCAGAAAGTATGGAAGCTCGGTGCCCCTTCCCACATACCTTGCCCTATGCACTTCTTCCATCTGGCTGTTCCTGAGTTACATTCTTTACAATAAGCTGATAATCTAGTAAGTAAAATGTTTCTTTGAGTTCTGTGAGCCACTCTAGCAAATTAATTGAACATGAGGACGAGGTCATGGGAACCTGCAACCTATAGCCAGTTGTGAGAAGCACAGGTGACAACCTGGACTCGTGACTGACGTCCATCTATCTCTAGGTGGACAGTGTCAGAATTGAGTTAAATTTATGGGACACCTGGTATCCTAGGAGAATTGAGTTAATTTCTCGGTGGTAATGGGAAAAAAACACACACATTGGAATTTGTGTCAGAATCGTATAGGAAAACCAAGGGCAGTGAGAGGGCTGAGTATAAATGAATGAATCCAGAAGCTCTAAGAGTTTTTGAGGACTGCTCAGGAGCTTTCTCACAGCACCACCTGGTGGACATCTGGCAACTTTTACCAGAATCAATAAAGCGACTGACAAAAGGATCTACAGGTCAGTTACTAAAAAATCCAGCACAAACTCTCTACAGTGGCTGCCATCATTAGCTGACTACACATACCTGGATGAGGTCCAAGATTCCAAGTTCACTCTCCGATGAATCCACACAAAATACAAAGTAGAGGGTAGCATAGTGCCGGTAAATCAGCTTGTAGTCAGAGCCGCCAATCAAACTGTGGAAGACAGAAAACATTTAAATGGCTGCATCTCTTTTTTTTTTTTTTAAAGATTGGTACCTGAGCTAACAACTGTTGCCAATCTTTTTCTTTTTGTTCTGCTTTTTCTTCCTAAATCCCCCCAGTACATAGGTGTATATTTTAGTTATGGGTCCTTCTAGTTGTGGCATGCGGGATGCCGCCTCAGCGTGGCCTGATGAGCGGTGCCAAGTCCGCGCCCAGGATCCGAACCAGCGAAACCCCAGACAGCCATAGCAGAGCGCACAAACTTAACCACTCGGCCACGGGGCCGGCCCCAAATGCCTGTATCCTAATTAAACATATCAAAGAGAAACCCTGTGCCAAGGAATGAGAACAAGACCAAGAGAAAGGGGGAGGACAGGCCAAACAACAGCCCACGTCTCCCATGTGAACGGCAACCAAGTTTCGCAGAGCTGTCTAAAGGCACTGTACCTCCTCCATTCTTCTGCCCAGCCTCCCAGGAACCAAACACCTAAACAAGTAACAGCTGAAGCATAAGCATTCCACAGCTTCCAGAACTGGGTCTCCAGAATCGGGTCTCTCCCTGAGCAGACCATGCTAAAATCAGCGCAAGTTGCATCAGAACCCACCTGACACTTGAGTACTGACTAAAGATGCAATGATAAGGCCACCCAAAAGTGGACGCATGGGGAAAAAGCTGAAGCTGACTGTTTACCTTCCACCCTCCAAGAAGTTACAGATGTTGTCATCCCGCTTGAGAACTAGATGGAAGGTCTCTCGAACAATCTGCTGCTGGATTTCTTCTGGCTATGGAATAAAAGGAAGAAAGAGAATCAGTGAAGAAGCCTGAAAAACTACATCCCCTTGACGGGGAGGGGCAGCAAGAGAAGTGCTTCCAAGCCAGGAACAATCTGAACATTTGGTATTGGTTTCCAGAGAAGATAAAAATGATGAGGAGAGAGAAAATAAAGAGTGAATCTATGGGAAAATGGACGACAAGGCTCTGTTACAGGAATTAAGACAAGGTATATTTACCTAGATAGACAGTCACTAGCCATTACTGTCATGATAGGTAAGCTGGTATTTCTTTATACTAGTTAATAAACAAGGAAAAGAGAACTGATAAACTCTCATGCAAGGTCAAAGAGTAAGTGGAAGGCCTGGTCCTGAAATGTTTTGTCTTCCCTTAGAAAACATCTATACCAGGTACACAACAAAGGTCAACAGGTCTAACACTTCAAGGAGGTCAAGATGCAATCATGTACACGTTTTAAATAACTGAATTTGGACCTTTTGTGCTGGTAATATAGGTATTACATGTACGATGCTGTGCTGCTCACCAACAAAGGATTACTGAGAAAGACAGAAAAAAAAGTTGCACTTACAGATTAGAACTTTGAACACTCACAGAGCTACAAATATTTTTTTTCACTTACTATTCACTTACTACACGTGAGAAAGCTCAACTGTGATGGAATCTCTTGATAATTCGCATTCAATTTCTATTTATACACGAGGTTCATAGTAAGTATGGTTAAAAAAAGAACGATAGGACAGAGAGACCAGTCAAGACAAAAAACAATTACAAGCTCTAGACCAGTGCTTCTCAAATTCTAACGTGCAATGAATCACCAGGGACTGATATTAAAATGCAGATTCTGATTTAGCAGGTCTGGGGTAAGTCCTGAGACTGCAGCTCTAACAAGCTTCCAGGCGACACCAATGCTGCTGGTCTGGGCACCACGCTTTGAGCAGCAAGCTTAAGAGAAGCTTCCCCTAAGACTCAGAAAACAGACTCAAAAAATGTTAATCTCTTTCTTTCAACAGCACTGAACCTAGGTTTGAAATGGTTAGTTCTTTAAAAGAAATAGAGGGAAAAAAACAGGGGAAATGTCACTGTGGAGAAATTACTTTTCATAACTTTGACTCAACGTGGGTAAAGAGTGGCTCTATTATTTACTGAATGGACAAATGCGAACTTGCTGATCACTGGTCATTGTAATTCGGGTAAATCAATCACTATTTTCCTGGTTTCCATTTAAAAAACTTACAGAGCTCACGGATGCCAGGATGCTGTAAAGGATTAACTAACTCTAGGTCTAAGCATCAGCACTTTTTTAAACTGACAAAAACATCTTTCAATGTAAGGCCTTTTAGACTCTAGGGGGAAGTGGCAGCAGTCAGTGGGGAAGTGGCATGAAATGACAAGGCTACCAAATTTCTAATTCAGCAAAAAGGTAAACTACCAATTGCTTACATGACTCACTTATTTTAATAATCCCTCATATCTTTTATTATTCTGTAGTTTTCAAGATAATTTTCACTCATGAGCTAATTTGGTTCTTTCAAAAACCCTATGTTCTCCAAAGATGATATGCAAATAGTCAATAAGGACATGAAAAGACGCTCAACATCATCAGTCATCAGGGAAATGGAAATTAAAACCACAATGAGATACCACTTTATACTCACTAAAATGTCTTTAATCAAAAAGATAATCACAAATGTTGATGGGCAGGTGGAGTTGGAACTCTTATACATTGCTGACGGGCACGTAAAATGGTGCAGCCACTCTGAAAAATGGTCTGGCAGGTCCTCAAAATGTTCACCATAAAGTTACCATACGGACCAACAATTCTCCTGGGTATATAACCAAGAGAAATGAGGACATATGTCCACACAAAAACGTGTACGTGAATGTTCTTAACAGCGTGACACACAAGAGCCACAGGTGGAAACATCAACTGATGAAACGTGGCACAGCCACACAGCAGAACGTTACTGGGCAATAAAAAAGAATGAAGAAGCGATAAATGCTACAACATGGATGAAGTTTGAAAACATCATACGAAGTGAAGGAAGCCAGTCACAAAAGACCACATATTGCATGATTCCATTTATACGAAATGTCCCGAATAGGCAAATTTAGAGACAAAAAGTAGATTAGTGGTTACCTAGGGCTGTGGGAATTCAGGGGGAAATACATAGTGGCTGCTAGTGGGTACGGGTTTCTTTTTGGGGTAATGAAAATATTCTAAAGTGGATCGTGGTGATGGTTGCATAACTTTGTGAACATACTAAAAACCCTTGAATTGTACACTTTTAAATAGGCAAATTGTGGCTTATATCTCAATAACACTTAAAAAACGGAGGGGGAAAAAAACACACACACCCAAAAATTGAAATACAAATTGAACAGCTATATTGAATGCTGATATTTTTACCTTGACATAATATTTAATAAAAGGTAACTAGCTAAAAAAATTAAAGTCCTAGGAAAAAGGTAAAATTATTTTTTCATTTCTATTCGACAAAAGAGGAAATAATGCCTGAAAGAGTCTGTTAACGTGTCAACAGACACTAGGCTAAAAAAGGCGGAGCTGAGACCTAAACATCAGTTCTGCGACTCTTTCCCCTCCTGGGTTTCACCCGTCTCCCAGTTACGGGTGTGACATTGTGACACCTAGTCACAAGGAAAGAACACGTTGGGGGAGGAGGAGGGCAGGAGGCAAATAATGATGTTTGCGTTTTCCCAGAAGAGCGTTTTTGGAAAATTCACATTCGCTTTCTGATGTCTCGGGCCTCACGCGGCAGCATTTATCCTTTCTCATCACTTGCACTTTTAAACTGACTTTCACTCTGCAGAGCGCGGGGGGACGTCCCCGGGCAGCCCCAGGCCACACGGAAGCGAAGTAATTCCAAGAAAGCCCTTCTCCAGACCCTCCGGCTAAAGCAAGACTGTAAGAAGCAGCATGTTTCTTCGTCCTCGGGAAACGGCCTTCAGCCACCCCCAGGACTACAAGAGCCCACCCCGCCGTCCCTCAGGGGGCCCGAGACCCACAGGAAGGGCCCCAGGGGGCCCAGAAGCGGGTCCGGGAGCACGGGGGCAGCGGGGACCGGTCCGGGAAGGAGGTCAAGGGGTCCGGGGGTCATGCAAGGCGCAGGAGCCCCGGCGGCCAGCTGGCGGTGCCCGGGAGCCGGAGGGGCAGGAGGGAGCGGGGAGCGCGGGCGCCCTGAAGGGACGTGCGAGGCTGGGCCGCACTCACGAAACGCTGGTAGAAGCGGACCAGCCGCGGCTTCCCGTGGTTGTTGAAAACCAGAATGGCCTGAATCATCTTCGCCCGCCACTCTTCCGTCAGCCGCCGCGGCTCCCAGAGAGCATCTCCTTCCGCCACAACACGAGCACTTCCGGCTGGTGCGCCGCCGAGAGGGGCCAGGGGAAACTTAGCCCGGTGCCCGGGGGCCCGACCGCGAAGGGTCCGGCCTCCCTGCACGCCTTGGACAAGGCTCCGGACACCGAGGCTGGGGAGGGTCGTCGGTCGGCCAGTGGTCATTGGACGCCCAGGCCTGGCCAGGGCGCAAAGTCCCCGCCTGGGCAGCATGCAGCTCATTTTTATTGTCCAGCGTTACATACAATGCTGCAGTGAATTAGATAGATGTCTCCTCGTGCAAAAGGGCTATTTCTCCATGGGAGGTTGTGAATAGTGGGAATTAAGGGATATTTAATGCGATTCCATTTAAAAGGTACCGGCGATCCCAAATTGGTAGTTTTTTTTCTTATAATGACTTAAAGGGCGTGAGATGAAACACGTCCCTATCCTGCAGATGGAGCTGGATATTGGAATCGCCTATCCAGAGGACTGTTTGGCAATATGTATCAAAAGCCTTTAAATATATAGAACATTAAACGCAGAATTCCCACTTTTAGAATGTATAATAAAATGATTGTAGATAGGTGAAAAGATTCAGGCTCAAGAACGTACATCCCAGCAGTGTTATTACAGGAGAAAATGGGAAGCAAACTAATTATGCTGAAATGAGAAATTAGTTAAATGCATTGTTTCACATGAGAAATATTCAAGTTATTAAAAATAATGTTGTGAAGATTAATGGTATAGGGAAATGTTCATGACATACGTGTAACCGAAAAGATTATACAAAGTATGTACAGGGACGTGCCGCTTGGTAAAAGATTGAATGTAGATACAGCAAAATATGGATAATAGTTGTGTCGGCTGGAATGGCAGCACCATGCCGCGCTCAGCACAGGCTCCTGGAACCGGGCTGCCCTGATTCAAATCCCCGGCCTGTTTATTTTTTGGAAAAAAATGTTTCTACTTTCCTCACTTGTTATAAGCAAAAGGAGTTAACATTCGTAAGCACTTGGAGCAGCGCACAGCGTATGATGGAGTCCTCCATAAGCGATTGGAAAAACACCTTTGGGTGGTGGAATCACATATTTTTCTTCTCTAAAATAAATATGTATTACTCTTGTAACCAGTGTTTTTTAATTTAAAAAAAGCCAAAGGCAATAAATGTGCACTGAAACCTGGCAAAATGTTTCAAATGTTGAGGAGGAATATTAGAGAAAATTCTAAAACAGAAGGATAATGAGGAGGACCTAGCTCTGTCAACTAAACCTACTATATTAGTTCAAATTGTCGTTATAGGGAGACTGATTGAAATATAATAGATAATTTAGGTATAAAATAATTTTAGTATGTGATTTAGCAGAAATCATAACTTGATAGTGGGAAGGATTTAGTAAATACGCCAGGATAACTGGTTGGCAATTTGAAAATAAGCAATTTAGTTATCTCACTTCATACTCTCCCACAAATTAAAGGCAGAGTGAATTAAAGAGTTAAATATAAAACCAGATAATAGCCAAAATGGAAGAAAATGAAACTGAGTATCTAACATCTGAAAAGAGAGCATAAACTTAGAAGCAATAAAAATCACAAAAAGTCAACAGATACATCTATATAAAGATTTTGTTTGTAAAATCAGTTTTTAAAAATGGCAAAGAAGTTGTTAAAATATGGTAAATGGTTATATTTAAAATATAAATAACTCTGACAAACCAAAAAGACTTCTCCCCCTCAGTCGATAAATGGGCAGAGGAACTGGGTTAACAAAAAAGGAAAATATATTCAGGAAGTGAATATGAAAAAAATGTTTATGCTCACTATTAATGGGGGGAAAGGCTATATAAAGTATTAATTTTTTAAATTAAATGTAAAAAAAGTAATAAGACTACTCAAGAAGCCATAATCCCAGAAATAATCTTTTGGGGGTTTTTTGTGGGGTTTTTTTTGCTGAGGAAAATTCTTCCTGAGCTAACATCTGTTGCCAATCTTCCTCTTTTTGCTTGAGGAAGACTCCCCCTGAGTTAATATCCATGTCAGTCTTCCTCTATTTTGTATGTGGGTTGCCACCACAACATGACCACTGATGAGTGGTGTAGGTCCGCACGCAGGGAACCAAACCCAGGTGGCTGAAGCAGAGCACACTGAAATTAACTAGGCCATGGGGCTGGCCCTCTCTAGAAATAACCTTTTATTTTCTAGAAGGTTCTGCAGTCATAGAACTTTGTACTTACACTATTATAGCACTCATTTTCTTTCGTTTTTTTTTTTAAAGATTTCACTTTTCTGTTTTCTCCCCAAAGCCCCCCAGTACATAGTTGTGTATTTTCAGTTGTGGGTCCTTCTAGTTGTGGCATGTGGGATGCTGCCTCAGCATGGCTTGATGAGCAGTGCCATGTCCATGCCCAGGATTTGAACTGGCGAAAACCTGGGCTGCTGAAGCAGAGCACGCGAACTTAACCACTCAGCCACGGGCCGGCCCCTCATTTTCTTTTTTTCCCCCCACTTTTAAAGAGTTAGAATGTGGCATTTTATTTTCATTATTTTAGAAATAATAGGTAGGCATCAGTGTTTTTATATATATTATATATACCTATGTCATATACATTAGCATATAAATATATATGTGTATATATATGTAAAGTCAATATTTTGAATATGATTCAAAATTTGTTTTATTTTACATCAACTGCATTTTTTTCTTTTTACCTTTTGACCCCCTTCACCCATTTCTCCCACCCCTCACAGCCCCCATCCTCCTGGCCTCTGGCAACCAACAATCTGTTCTATCTATGAGCTTGGTTTCTTTTTCTTTTGCTGAGAAAGATTCTCCCTGAGCTAACGTCTGTGCCAGTCTTCCTCTCTTTTGTATGTGGGTCACCACCACAGCATAGCCACCAAGGAGTGGTGTAGGTCCACACCTGGGAACAAAACCCAGGCCACCAAAGCAGAGTGCACCAAACTTAACCACTAGACCATGGGGCCGGCCCATTGGTTCCTTTTTGTTTTATAAGATTCCACATATAAGTGAGGTCACACACCATTTCTCTTTCTCTGTCTGACTTATTTCACTTAGCATAATGCCCTTGAGGTCCATCCATTTTGTCACAAATGGCAAGATTTCATTGTTTTATGGGTGAATAATATTCCATTGTGTGTGTGTGTGTGTGTGTATACACCACATTTTGCCAAGCGGTGCCATGTCCGCACCCGGGATCTGAACCAGCAAACCCCGGGCCACCAAGAAGCAGAACATGTGAACTTAACCGCTGCGCCACCAGGCTGGCCCTTTATTTCTTTTTCTGATAGTTCATTATTAGTGTACAGAACTACAACAGATTTGGGGGTATTGATTTTGTATCCTGAAAGCTTACTGAATTCATTTATTAGTTCTAACAGTTTTTTGATGGGAGTCTTTATGGTTTTCTATATATAATATCATGTCATCTGCAAATACTAACAGTTTTACTTATTCCTTTCTAATTTGGATGCTTTTTAGTTTTTCTTGCCTAATTGCTCTGGCTAAGACTTCCAATACTATGTTGAATAAAAGTGGCAAGAGTGGGCATCCTTGTCTTGTTCCTGATCTTAGAGGAGAGGCTATCAGCTTTTCATCATTGAGTGTGATGTTAGCTGTGGGCTTGTCATATATGGCCTTTATTATGTTGAGATATGTTCCCTCTATACTCACTTTGTTGTGGATTTTTACCATAAAAGTTAGTTATTTACATTCCACAAATTTTAGTATATTTTCATTTTAGTTTGTCTCAAGATATTTTATTGTTTCTCTTTTGATTTCTTCTTTGACCCATTGGTTGTTCACTTAATCTCCAAATATCTGTAAATTTTCCAGTTTTTCCCCAGTATTAATGGGGGTAAAGGCTAATCAAATTTCAAATATTAATTTTAAAATTAAAATATTAATCTCACCTTATGAAATATCACTTTAAAAATGTTATTGTACCCAATTTTGACAAAAGTGGCATGAAAATGGTCCTCTTGGGGGCCAGCCCGGTGGCCGAATGGTTAAGTTCGTGTGCTCTGCTCCAGCAGCCCAGGGTTTCGCTGGTTCAGATCCTGGGCACGGACATGGCACTGCTCACCAGGCCACATTGAGGTGGCGTCCCACATGCCACAACTAGAGGGACCCACAACTGAAAATATACAACTATGTGCTGGGGGGATTTGGGGAGAAAAAAGCAGAAAAAAAAAAGAAGACTGGCAACAGTTGTTAGCTTAGGTGCCAATCTTTAAAAAAAAAAAAAAAAAGGTCCTCTCTTACATTACTGGTGAAATTATAATTTAGAATAACCCTTTTAGAAAGCAACTTGGCAATATAACAAGACTTTAAAAAAAATTCCTAGATTCCCAGTAATCTGACTCCTGGGAATCCCTCCGTAAAGAAATAACCCCAAAATATAGTGTGTGTCTGTGTGTGTGTGTGTTTGTGTGTGTGTGCGTGTGGTGGGGGGCAGTAGATGGGTGCGTGAGATTGAGGGAACTATATAATTTACAACAGTTTTTGACACATTAATTATATTAGCTCCAAATAGGGAATCAATTATCCAAAAATTGGATAAATTGAGCTATTAAATGGTAGTCAATCTTAAGAACAATGTGGCAATATGGAAAGTGATTATATAATGTTAATGAAAAAGCATTATCAGATTCTATGTGTAGGCACAGTGTCACAACCAGCATGTAAATAAAGTGCAGAGCTAGCCCTCATGGCCTAGTGGTTAAAAAGTCCAGCATTCGCTCTGCTTCAGTGGCCCAGGTTCGGTTCGCAGTCACAGAACCACACCACTGTCTGTCAGTAGCCATGCTGTGGCAGTGGCTCACGTGCAAGAACTAGAAGGACTTACAACTAGAATATACAACGATGCACTGGGGCTTTGGGGACGGAAAAAAAGAGGAAGATTGGCAACAGATGTTAGCTCAGGGAGAATCTTCTCTAGCAAAAAAAAAAAAAAAAGAAATAGCATATTCTGGAGCAGGCTCTTCCCTTACCTCCATGTTTTTTCCTGCTGGAAAGTCCCTTTCCTCCTCTCATCTACCTGAATTTCTTCCCATCTCCACTGCCACCACTCTATGCCAAACCACTCTGGCTCTCACCCTGACCATTGCCACAGTCCCCTAGTCGAGCTCATTGCCTTCAGCTTCTCTGTAGTCAAGTGATCTTTGAAATATACAAATCAGATCTTATCACTCTCCCCCTGATCACTGGCTTCCAGGATGTTAAGGATAAAGTCCCCAAATACTTAAGATATTGAAGATGCCATGCCCCATCTCCAGCCTCACGTCTACCCCCACCCATTCTCTGAGCTCCAGCCACAATGGCCTTTTCCTTCCAGGGAACCTCGCCAAGACACCAAGCCCGTTTGCTGCCCAGGGCTTCCCCCACTGGCACACTGGGCCTCCTTGTTTGGAATGGTGGCCCACCCCTAGGAGCTTGCCATACTCTTTGGCCATGGTGCTGTGGGCAATGAGATGCCCTCACTAGGAGCCTCTACCCCTACCCAGTGTCCCCAGTCCTCCTCCTGCGTAACCACCTCCCTGGTCACCCCCATGATTGAGGTCCCAACAAGCTCACCAGTGAGCCAGCCCCCTTCAGACACAGCACCCCAGGGAGGCGGCTTCTACAAGAGTCACAAAGGGAGAGATCACAAGGAACTGAACTAAGAAAAGGGCGACAGGAACAGAAGAGACCTGCGAGCAGTCCAGTAACCGTGACTTCCGGCGGCCTGACTGATGTGTGAACCCCAAGCCTCACAGCCATATTGTTGAGCCCAGACTCAAACAGGCAGGAAGGCAAATGAAAGTCGGAGCCATGATAACAAATGAAAGAAGTGCAGTATTACCTGCTCAACTGCTGATACCAGCAGGGCTGGCTTCAGCCTGGGCAGACCAGCAGTCAAGGGCTTAGGCAACGTCCCTAGCATCTGGGAATATAACCCCGCTCCACAGGGCCGGGGCCTCCTCTGGCCCTCGTGCAGGCCAAGGAAGCCAGGCACAGGGGAAGGAGCATAAGCTTTGCTTTTGACAGCTCTGGATTTGAATCCTGGCTCTGCCACTTAGCTGTGTGACTCTGGGTAAGTTGCTCACCTCTCTGAGGCCCATTTTTCTCCTGTAGTATACACGTGGAAGCAGAATAATCCAGTAGTTAAGGATACGGGCTTGGAAATCTGACAGCCTGGGCTTAAATTCCTCTCTCCTCTAGATGCTACTCCTGGAGGCTCTGAGCATCAGTCTCGTAGGAAAACCATGGGGAGAATATCACATGTACCTCATGGGATCGCTGTGACGATTAAGTAAGATATTGCAAGCGCTCAGCACAAGAACTAGCAGCAGGAAGCACTCCACAGTCAGTGGCTATAATTACTGTCAGGAAAGCATCCACTGCTGTGTTTAATACACGAGAGGACTCAGTAACTGGTGGTTTACCACCACCCCATCTGCTCCCCGAGGCAAGCAGGACCCGCATGCTGCCAAGCGCCTGCCATTCTTGGGACAGGCAGATTTCAACTCCAGATCTCGTCACAGATCGGAGTGGGCACCATACCCAGCAAGGCAGTGCTCACGACCAGAAAGAAGTGGCTTCCTCCTTACAGGGACGTTGCCCCGCTGGAAGACTGTTTACACCTGATGACAACTCAGTCACTGTAGAGAAATTCTTTTCAGAAGATTTACTCATTTATAAAAAGTTCTCAAGGTACAAAACAACAACGAAAAAGGTGTTATCAAAAACGTGGCCTGGAAGAGTGAGTCTGAGAGGCGGGGACCCAGCCACACCTGGGAAGGCTCTAGGCTCCCTGAGAACAGCATCCCCAGGAGAGCAGCCAAGGAGGTCAGGAGACAGGAGCCCCCAGGTGGCAGAGAAGCAGAGGAGGAATAAAGAACCAGCGGCCTTGGGGGAAGGAGGCTGGAGCAAAGGGGCAGAGGCCACAACGCGGAGCACGGGGCAGCAGGCGGGGGTGGAAGGAAACCAGGAAATACACCAAGAGCAGAGGAAGGAGGCTGGGTAAGTTCTCCTCTGAGCCACTCTGCATGCAGATGAGGGATAGTCCCCGATTCTGCACCAAGACCAAGGCCAATTCCTCTGATTGCCTTGGGGACTTGCCTGCCACCTGCCCCCAGAAACAAGGCTGCCACTCAGGGCAAGAGCCATCATGAAAGTGTCTAGGCAGGCTAGACTCACATCCAGGGAGGGACCCTCCACGAGCCACGGCATGGGGCCCACTGCCAACATCATGGGCTTGGATTCGATTTTAGCAGAGCTTGTTCAAAGGGTATTCCACGCGGCTGTAGGGAAGAACCAGCTGAGGCTTGGCGGACTGCCCCCTCCAGCTCCAGAGGGGAAGTTGATGGAAGAAATCCTCAATAGTGCTGGCGGGCCCCGGAGGCACTCCATCTCCCTAACCTCAGTCGTCCTAGGGGGAAAGTAAAGAGACATGAACACAGCACTTTTCATGCAAGCCTTCTGCAAGTCATCGGACAAACAGGGATGTGATCGAGAGGGACCAGCGGGGCCCTCGGCCACCTGCTTTGGCCCCACTTCATCAGAGCCGGCCCAGGGAGCAGCCTGGCAGCTCCACAGATGGTTTTTCCATCCAAGACCCACGTTATTAAGACAAAAGGGGATCCAGACCCTCTACCCTACCTGCCCCCACTTTCTCTGGCAAATGTCATCTTCATCACCTACATAAATAGCCCATTTTTCTGTGACTTTATTTTAAATGTTCAATTCGGGGCCTTTTGACATCCATTCAAATCTTCAGGTGAAATATACTTCGGAAAAAGAAATCAACTGTGAGTAGGCTGAGGATCCACTAGCAAGCTGAGCCTTGGCAAAAAAAAACTATTAAGGACCAAGGTAGCCATTTTCCAGCCACTTTGGGCAGAAAGCCCAGAACAAAGGAGGAAAAACTGCTCATTCAGCTGCCCTACCACCTCGACACAGCTGACGTATTCACTTGAAGTGGAAATGTTTGGAGACCTGTGACATTAAGTCTCACTGGCTCCCCTCCGCCCTCCATTCCTTCCACCCCTCACTTTTATAAATCTTTGGGGTTTTCTTGTAATTGGCACAATTCACACCCACCAAAAAGAAAGGTCCCAGCTTGTCACCCTTTACACCTTAAAGGAATTTCCCTGATGCTAACACACTCTCGGGCATTCCCTGGAATTCCACCAAGGCTGGGGGCTAAAATTTATGCCTCTGTCTCTTTGTCCAACACCCAACCAGCACGGACAAAACTCCTGCTGAGAGATAAACCACGCCAACGCCAAGGCCACAGTTGTCTTCCTTGACCTACCCACTCCTCGTCCTCCGCCCCGTCCCCCTGCTCTCGGCTCTCCACTGCAGCCCCCTCAGAAGACTTTCTGGCCATGATGTTGTCTGTCCAGGACGCCCCCGTCTTTCCATCACCCGCGAAATTACACTTGGTCACTGTTCCGGCCTCAAGTTTGGCTAATGAATCTGAAAGAAGGGAACAAGGTGAATGGCCCCCGTCCCTGTGGCAAAAACACAGTGGGGCCCGGTCCATTCTGCCAGCTTCCCCGAGGTCTGGGATAAGCCAGTGTTCTCTTCGGGCCTGGGTGTGCTCCGGGAGGCCCTGGGGGGGGACCCCCAAAGCACTAGACAGGAAAGGTCACCCACAGGAACCACGGGATTGGGTGGTACCCCAGGATCCAGAGAGTCTCGGCTACTGGCCCCAGGGCACTTGTCCAGGGGCTTAGGAATAAATCAAGGGGCCATGTCGCCACAGAGGCCAGATGTGGCCCGCTCCCATGAGCTCTAAGCAGGAGGGCTGGGGGAGCCTCGGGCAGGAGGCCGGGACCCCCACAGGCCATATGGGAACATCAGGCCACAGTGAGGGCCGCTCTGCTCACCCAGGAAGGGGCCGTCGCCTCGAGTTTTCAGCCGTACCCCGGCCCCCAGCTCCAGCTCCATCGCCTCCATCTCTGACTCAAGCATCCAGAAGGCCACTGTCTGCTCGGGGGTGAGGCTCTCTGTCAGCGCCAGCAGCTCCGGCTTATTCACCAGCCCCTTCAGCGCCTCGGGAGTGAGTCTGTCGGTGTCCCCCTTGGCTTCCTCCTCTGCAGGCACACAGCACAGGGGCTGTTACTGCTGTAATAAGCACTCTGGGAAGGCCTCCTAGGAGCCAGGCTGAGGGTTGCACACGCTCACAAGCACCTGAGGGCAGGCCTGAGGACTCGTCCTGCCAGCGCTCATCAAGGAGCTCATGGTAGAGGACCAATGGCATGGGCTCTGGAGCCAGGCTGCCTGGGGCAAATCTGCTTAGAAGCTGTGCGACCTTAGGCAGGTTACTTAACCCCTCTGTGCCTGACAAATAGGGATAAAATGGCACCCACCTGACAGGACTGACATGAGCTGTCAATGAATAATACACATGAAGCATTCAGCACAGTGCTGGCACATGGTTGACCCTCAGTGAGTGTTATTGTTTTTTTATTCCTGTTTTACAGATGAGAAAACTAAGGCTTAGAGAGGTTAAGTAGTTTGCCCGAGGTAACACAGCTAGTCCGTGGAGGAGGCAGCATTCAAACTCTCCACACCCTTCTGCCTTCCCAGTGAGACCCCAGTGACCAGGCCGGGTTCTTCCAGGCTCTTGGGGTCTCCCTGGCTGGCACAGGGTCTGCTGGACCCAGCAGCAAACTCTGGTGGTCCCCATGCTCTCTCTGGCCTGCTCGTCCTGGCCCGGCCAGAGCCCTGAGGCTCAGGGAGGGTTCCAACAGCCTCGCCTTCCTGCACTGAAAGTCCCAAACCTGCAAGTCCTGGTAGGGGGCGGGGTGGTCCCAGGCTGAGAATCAAGGCCTCCCAGGCCCCACACAACAACCCAGAGCTGTCGGAAGGCTGCCTTCTCCACGCCAGCACCCCAGCGGCTGCTCTCTGGGGGAGAACTGCCCGCCAAGCCACCAAGACCACATCCCGCTCATGGTGTAAAACTGCTGCCAAGCTCCGTCAAGAAGCCTTCTGGGATCCCAGGACACCTCACTCACACAGAGGGCTTTCAAACTGCTCCATCCTCCTCGAACCCTGCCCTGCCTTGCGTCCACCTCACCTCCTACTTCACAAGATACCAGAAGCCAGAAGTGAGGCCACTCACCTCCCTGCCACCACCTCCCCGTCAATTTACCTAAAACCACATGGAACCTCTCCTCCTTCCCTCTGTCTCAAAGGGAGAGGTGTGTCCCCTCCTGCCTCAAGCCAGTTCCTCCATCTGGGCTCCAGATCGCACCTCCTTGAGGACCCGTCCCTCTTTCTCCTCTCCCGGATCTTTCCCTAATGCCTTTTTGCATCCTGGCTTTGACACCCACGGCTCCAGGCTCTGCCCACCTCCCATCAGAGTCACTGGGGGGCTCCTCATTGTGATGCCCACTGGATGCTCCGCAGCCAGAGCCGCCCTGGGCTGTGGGCAGCACCTGACGCCATCGCTACCTCCTCTCTCCTGTCCCCCTGGCCTTCCCCATCTCCCTCAGACCTCTCCCAGGGCTCCTGCTCCTTACGGACTCCTTCCCCGGCCACCTCCTGTTGTCGCTCTTCTCCAAAACGACCTCCCGGGTGCCTTCAACCACTTCCACAGCTTCGATACTACAATGTGTGACCACTCCTCCATACACTGCCAGCCCAGCCCTCTTCCTGGGTTCTAGAACTGTACCTCCAAGGCCCCAGTGGACACCTACTTGTCTTGGGAAGTGCCACCACGTGTCTAAGGCCACGTGTCCCAAACAGAACTCTTCTCCCCAAACCTGCTCCTCTCGCACCTCCACTCCCCCAAACCTGGCACCCAAGCCCAAACCCTGGGGTCCTCCCTGACTCCTCCCTCATTCTCCGCACATCCAAACACTGAGGCCACTGTCCCTCCTCTAGCTTGGGTCTCTCCGCTCTCTCCATCCTCACTGACAGGTCCCTAATCCCGGCCCTCTTATCTCCCTCTGAGGTTGCCTCACAGTCTCTGACCAGGCCTCCTGGTCTCCAGTCTATTCAGCTCCCCAGGGGTTTTTAAGAACAAATCTAATCTCATCACTCACCAACTTAAAGCCACTCACTACAGGGGTCCCTGTACCCTCGACTGAGTGCCCCTTCTGGGCCCTTCTCCCCGCCTGCCTCTCAGGCCGCCCTCCCCACCTGGCTTCTCTGCTCCTGCGTCAGGAGCCCTCAGGTCCCAAATGTCTTTGGCATGCCGTCCCCTCTCTGAAACACTCCCTGGCCCAGGCACCCTGGCTGATTCCTGCTTATCTCTCAGGACTCTGTACTGGTGTTCCCTCCTCCAGGGCACCCCCGACCACGCCTGCCTGGGCTCAGAGCCCCTCCGTAGGCTCCCGTCACAGGCTGCCCATCTCCTCCACCACACTGAGAACATCTCGAGCACATGTCTGAGTCCTGTGCGTCCCTGGACCCTCTGTGCGTGGCTCACGGCCTGGCACACGGCAGATGCTCATTAAACATTCCGAGAATTAATGAGCAACTGAAAGCAGGAATGAATAAAACAACAGAGGGATGCGTGGATTGCCACTCACCCTCAAACCCTTCTCACTCGGGGCAGACAGCAAAGAGGTCCTTTGGGAAAGCTGGGAAGAGGAACGGGATCGCGAAGGGCCCAAGAACCAAACAAGAATTTCGGCAGAAAAATGGAGGCCACCGGAGGCCTGGTCGAGGCTCTGCGCAAAGGCAGCTGGAGCCCAGAGCCAGGTTCACGGACAACTGCCTAGACTGCAGGAGACGGCAGGAGCTGGGAAGGCCAGCTAGGTCCTTGGGACTGCAGTGGGGCACTGGGGATACCCTGAGTGAATGGGGGGCAGGACAGAGTCCAGCCAGGGGGCCCTCAGACCAGACATGGGCTTCAAGGCCAACCACGCGAAGAAGACACTTTCTGGGGGCCAAGAGGCCCCTAGAGACAAAGGAAGGCCAAGTACCCGAAGTCACACAAGGCATCTCACTAACATCAGGCCTCATCTTACTCACATGACAAAAACTAGTGTAAGAGGGCCCTGAGGGACGAGGGGCGGAGGATACCTACTGTAGGATGACATGAGGAAGCCTGTGTTCACCTTCCTGGTGGCGCTGAAGTTGGGCTCGATCTCATTTCCCTTGGGGTCGAACTTCCGGCGATGGATGCAACTGGGCCGGATATACAGCACGTAGTAGCGCTCCTGGGGCCAGGCAGAAAGAGGGTGAGGGGGTTACTTCACTCCCCCCACCCTCCAACACACACACTCCCCACAGGGCTCCGGCTGCAGCCCTCCCCGACTCACTCTCTACCCCGAAAGATATGCAAGCTGGGCAGATGCCCCACTTCAATATCCATTCATTCATTCATTCATTCATGTGTTCAGCAGAACACCTGCCACACATAATGAACCATGCTAGACGTCCATGAGAGGGCGGGCCCAGGGCCTGCCCCCAAGGCCTCCACAGTCCCCACACACAGCCAGAGACAGAAAGTATACACAGAACCCGAGAGTCCTGGCACCAAAGACCCCAAACACCATGAAGCAGGAGTGGAAGCAGCCAAGGTGCCATGGAAAGGGGACTGGCAGGGAGCGGGGAAGGAGGCAGCCACTGTGCCTCTTCCAGCAGATGTGGGCCAGGGGGAAATCACTCCCAGCCTCAGCTTCCCCTGTGGCACGGGGACAACGTGATGCCTGCTTTCAGGAGTGCTGTAAGAGTTCGAGGAGATGACGAAGGAGCAGACACAGTAGAAAGCATGAAGCGTGCTGCAAATGCTGCTTGCCAGCTACGCTAATCAAATCAGGCAGACGAAACGCTCCCAGAGACTGAAGAAGAGGAAACCACTCCTGGGAAAAACAGGGAGGCACAGTCTGGAAGGGTGGGGAGACCTGCCACCGCGGGAGCAAGGGTGTAGGAAGGGTATCAAAAGCCTGGGACAGGCATGTAAAATAAAAGTCAAGGTCCTGTGTGCATGTCTGAGCAAAGCGGGGCCCTTGGAGGCTGGGAGTGCCAGTGGGATAAGTCTGAGCCGGGCCTCGAGTCAGCACTTGGAGTTGGGATTTGATCAGTTAGACAAGAAGGAATCCTGAATGGTTTCGGAGCAGGAGCAAGACCCTCAGAGATGTCTTTCAGGAAACAAGCTGGCAGCAGGACAGGACTGAGCGCTGGAGGCAGCCAGACGGTAGGAGGGGCAGGTGTAAGGTTTACTCAGGACAGGCTGAGTCCCTGAGTGCCCATGGGAGGGAGCAGACCTGGAAAGACGAAGGGAGGGTGGGGCAGTCAAGGGAGGAGCCTGCCGGGACCAGAGGTTGCTTACCTTGGGGCGGGGCAGGAAGAGACCTGGAGGTCTGCGGGTCATTAGGAAGGGGGAGCTCAGGGGGGTGAGCCTGGAGAGCGGCTGGGAGAACGCCCTGCCTGTCAAGGTAGCCCAGGCAAGTTAGCCTCACATCAGTGTGGCACTGCTGCTGGGCGCCTGGGGCTGGCTGGCTGGGGGCTCCAGACTGGAGGGACCACCCTGCTAACTTCTGTGCTACCGTGCAGAAGATGCAGCATGAAATCAGTGCTGAGCTGGGAGCAGAGGTGTTCTCTGGGGGTGCGAGGGAGAGGCTCCAGCCTGCCTCCAGAGGGCATTCTAATGAACTCAGTTGCAGAGACCAAGGAGATAAGGCAGCGGTCAGCACATCAGGGTGGGACTATCTGAAAGGGGGGTGGAGACTCAGAACCAGTGCTCAAGAAGGAGATGCTGGCTAGCACAGGATGGTGAACGCCAGGTGTGTCCGCGGACACCTGAAGTGGGGTGGTGATAAGGGGCAGGACCCCAGGAGGCTGAGGGGACAAGGGTAGAAGGGCAGGGACGCAGGAACTGAAGCCCCGGGCAGTGTCAGCAACATAGACTCACATTCAGGCTGGAAACAAGCCCAAGAATTCAGCAACCCTCCTCCCTCCCCAAGGCACGCCCACCTGCACACACGCAGAAGCCCAGGTCCACACGGGTGACCTGATTTATAAAAACCCAACCTTCCAAAAGGCCCGGCCACAACACAGTGGTGTCCAAAGGTGAGCAAGCCCATGACAAGAGATTCACCACTTTGCAAATGGCGTCGTTTCAAGGCTCCTTCCAACAGCAAACTCCACCTGTACCTTTAAAGTCATTCAATTCCAAAAACTTAAGGGCGCACACGACTTCCCAGGAACAGAGCAGGGGTCCAGAGCGGGGAAGGTCACTGCTGACCCCGCACCCACACAAGGCCTTAACCTGCTCTGACCTTGTCCATCAGGCCTTGGGTCAATGCAACCCCCAGACCAGAGGACAGGAGTCCGGGCCCTCGGCTCTCCCGGGATAGAGACACGCATCCTGCCTAGCCCCGCAAAGCTCCCAGCCCTCTAACTCAGCTCCATCCGAAGGCAACAGGACCTCTTCAGAGGGCCTTCCAGCCCACTCAGCACCCCAGACTCAGTCCTGGACCACTCACCTCATCCACTCACCCTTCCTGCTTCAACCCTCCCAACCCCAGCCCCAGACACACACTTGGGTTTAAGGCCTGGTCTGTCTTCCCAGGGAGAACCCAGGCCCCCGCTTCCGCCCGCCGCCCAGCACATCCCAACCGATCCCCTTCCACTCAGTGACCCTTTTGGCCGCTAATCTCCCGGCCCACCTCCCACCTGCCCTGTGAGCCCTTCAAGGAAAGAGCTGGACCCTAAGTCTTGGCACTGGCAGGGCCAAGCACAGGGAGCTGCCTCGGTGGGTGTGGACCGTGAACAGAGGGTCCTGCGGGCGCCCCGAGGAAACATCCTCACCTTCCTGCCATGAGCATCCGAGATGCTGTGCCGAGATACATCCACCAGGTCTCCCTCCAGCAGGACGCCGTTTCCCCTGGGGAGGAGAGGGAAGGAAGGGACCAGCTGGTCTGCCAGTCCTCAGGAAAGGACCACAGTTTGATGGCCCAGTCTGAGTTTGCACTGAGAAAGAAGCAACTCCCATGGGAGTCCCCGACTCACTCGCCCCTGAGCGGGCCCAGGACTGAGCAGCCCCTTTCTCTGTGCTTCCCACAGGGGCCCTCCCTTCCTCTGAGGGTCCCAAAGGCTGGGGCACTGCCCAGAGGGTGGGAAGGACCCGGCGAGGCTGAAGACCAAGCTACGGCCCTTCCGGCAGGGGGTTACTGTAACCAGAGCCTCAGTCTTCTTATCTGCAAAACGGGACAGGACCAGCCGCCACACTCTGCTTCTATGGTGATGACATTAGATCATGGCTATGCAGGTGTTTTGGAAACTATTAAGTGCTTACTAAATATAAAGGATTTTACATTTTTATTTAACCAAATTCTGGGAGGGTGTCTAAGCTGCTATAAGGTATTTTTCCTTTTCAACCATTTGAAAGCACTTCCATATTCCGGTTTGCACACATCCACTTTAGAGAAGGAGAAATCAAAACTCAGAAGTTTGTGACTAGCCCAAGATGGGTCGCAGGGTCCCTGAGGAGAGCTGGACCCTGCTTCCCCATGCTAGTTGCCACTAACGCAGAACCTGTGCACTTCCTTTTCTGGAACCACAGAAATGGGAGAGAGGAGGGGTGAGCTGAAGGGATGGGGATGAAAAGCGAAAACTGGCTGTACCTTACTAGCCCTACCCAGCCCCTCACCCCCTACATTCTTTAGAGTTTCCAATTGCAAACGGAACGGTCCCTTTCTTCTCATAACCTCCGTGCCCCCGTGATGGCAAGGCCCGGCCCTCCCGATGCCACACACTCCTGCAGGCAGGCCACGCCCTCCCGCAGCCCAGCCAGGCCGACTCCACCCGCCGTTCCGGTCACAGCCCCACCGGCCCTCTCGGAGCGGGGCGCAGCCTGGGCACAGGCCTGTGGGCAGGACAGGCTGGGTGTACAGCCCCGCGGCCCGGGCAGCGCCCGAGGTCGGGGAAGGAAGCCCCGCCTCCTGAGCCCCGTTCCGGAGTCGGGACCCCGACTCTCTCCCGAGGGTCTGGGGACAGGAGGGGAGACTGGCGCCACCCGCGTCTTAGGGGTGCGCTCCGAAGCGCGGCGCCGGGGGGCGCGGACTGGGGCCCGAGAGGCGGCCGCGGAGAGCCCTCCGCCATTGGGAGGCGCAGGGTCAGGGCGGCGGGGGCGGCGGGGGCCTACCGCTGGTGGGCGGCTGGGGCCCAGGCGCCCGGCAGCCGCGCACTCCGCACGGGCTTGTTGCGGAGCGCGTCGTCACGGTAGATGCGGCTCATCCTCCCGCACCCGCGAGGCGCGCGCGGGGGCGGCGGCGGCGGCGGCGGCGGCGGGAAGCGCGGAGGACGCGCCGAGACCGGCCACCGCCGCGGATCCCGGAACGCGGATCCCGGAACGCGGACCTGGGAACGCGGCCCGGCTCCGGGCGTGCCGGGCGGGACTTAAAGGGGCCGAGCCCCATTCCGGCCCGCAGGACCCTGCGTGGTGGGAGGTGGGCTTCCGGGGGGACCCGGGGCTGAGTGGGGCCTTAGCCCTGTGAGGGAGGAAAGGCCACGTCCTTCTCTTTTCTCTCCCTCTTCCTTGTAACTAGAGGGAGACCCCCACCCCAACGCAGGCACAAAGGGGAAATTGAGGCCCAGAGATCCTATAGAAGCAGCCCTGGAAAGATGGGATTCCAGGGAGCAGGAGTGGAGAAAAGGGAACGGCCGCCATGGAGGGCGGGGTGGTCAGCACAGACGCTGCTCTTTGTGCCCCTCTCCAGGTCCCACAGCGGCTGAGGGAGGGGTTCCAGGGATCTGTGACGACGGACCCTGGGCTTGGGTGTCAGATCAACGACATACCGAAGTTTGAATCCCAGCTGTGTGAGCCTGGACAAGTTCTTCAACCTCTCTGAGCCCTTGCTTCCTCCTCCGTAAAATGGGGTCAGTATCAGAGGGGTTTTAAAGATTAATAAATTCACTCTAGAACATCGCCTCTCGCCTCTCCATCTTCCCGCACAGCTCTTGGAGCCCTCCCCAGTTCCTTACTGCTCTTTGTGCAAGTATGTAAAGTCTAGGGGTGCATTTTCCAAGCCTGGGTGCAGGGGTCTGTTCTGACCCAGGGATTGTTGGAGAATCTTGGTTCTCTTGTTTGACCCCTTTGTGCCAAGACCTGGGGCAGGTGGGCCCATTCGTGGAGTCCAGGTGTGGCCTATGGGGGAGCATTTAAAGGGGAGATGGCCAGGTAGATGCCTGGGAGTGCAAAATGAGCTGGGGGGGTGGGGCGGGGGGGGGGGGGGGGGGGGTGGAGGCGGCCTGGAAGCAGCATCCTCTCCCCCCACACACATTAGGACTTGGCACTTTTGTTTTCAAGGGCTCCTTCCTCCACTAAAAAAATTTTTTAATTATATTTTATGACTGAGTTGGCGTAAAGATGAATATATTAACATTATATTTTAAAACATTTTCTTTGCCCTAAACATTCTTTTTTTCTTGCGATTTTAAAAGAAATTAAAACATTTTTGTGAGTCCTAGGCAGTGTGCCTAATGGATTAGTCAGCCCCACCCTCAGTCTGGCCTACCTGGCTGCTCCATAAATGTCAAAAGGAAGGACATAGAGGAGCCCTGGCAGGAAGTCCCTCTGGGCAGCACTGTCCTTTGGCTCTCTCTTCAGAACTCCCCGGGCTGCTATAAGGAACTCTTATAATTCAATAGCAAGAAAACAAATAACCTGATTGAAAAATGGGCAAAGAAACAGAGACATTTCTCCAAAGAAGACACATAAATGGCCAACAGGTATGTAAAAAGCAGCTCAACATCACTAATCATCAGGGAAATGCAAATCTAAACCACAGTGAGATGTCACCTCACACCTGTTAGAATGGCCATTATCAAAAAGACAAAAGATAAGAGTTAGCTAGGATGTGGAGAAAAGGGAAGCCTTGTGCACGGTTGGTGTACAAGGGTACGTAAATTGGTGCAGCTGCTATGGGAAATACTACGGAGGTTCCTCAAGAAATTAAAAACAGAGCTCCCATATGATCCAGCAATCCCACTTCTGGGTATCTATGCAAAGGAATTGATATCAGGATCCCAAAGGGATATGTGCGCTCCCACGTTCACTGCAGCATTATTCACAATAGCCAAGACATGGAAGCAACCTACACGTCCGTCAATGGATGAATGGGCAAAGAAAATGTGGTAGGTATACACATACAAGAGAATAGTTACTATTCAGCCTTAAAAAGAAGGAAACTGCATTTGCTACAGTGTGGATGAACCCAGAAGTGAAAGAAACCAGATCCAGAGAGACAAATGTGGCATGATCTCGTTTACGTGAGGAATCAGGCTCATAGAAGCAGCATAGAATGGCGGTTATCAGGGGCTGGGAGGAGGGGAACGGGGAGTTACTACTCAAAGGGTACCAAGTTTCAGGTGTATAAGATGAATGAGACCTAGAGATCTACTCCCAGCACAGTGCCTATAGTTGACAATAGTGTAGTATACACTTAAAATTTTACTAAGAGGGTAGATCTTACGTTGTGTTCTTTCACACACAAAAAATAATAATAAATAAAGTGGGCACGAGGAAACTTTTGGAGGTGATGGATATGTTTATGGCGTAGATTGTGGTGATGTTTTCACGGGTGTGTACTTATCTCCAAAATCATAGAGTTGTATACATCAAATATAGACAGCTTTTTGTAAGTCAGTCACGCCTCCATAAAATGGTTTAGAAAACAAACAAACTCTCCGGGCTGGTCCCAGCCACAGGCTGGCCGGCCCCTCTCCTCCTTCCCTTTCTGTGTCATCTCCCCCTCAATGGGCTCCAGATCTTCACCGCCTTATATGGCAGCCACTAGCCACACATGGCTGTTTAAATTTTAATTAATTAAACCTAAATAAAATTTAAAATTCAATTCTTCAGTCTCACTAGCCACATTTCCAGTGCTCAGTAGCTGGCAACATATGGCTAGTGGCTACCATTTTGGACAGAGCAAACACAGAACGTTTCCATCATCACAGAAAGTTCTGTCCGACAGCACTGCTGTAGCTCCTTTCTTAGGAGACTAATCTCCTGCTTATTCGTCTCTGTGACTTCACCCTTTCAGCACAATTGGCAGACCAGGCACCAGCAAGGAGGAAGAACCTAAAAGAACAAGAAAACTATTTTTTTAAAGGTTTTGATATTCATTTCCTAAAAAGTATCAATCATCATGGGAAAAAACTAGAACTTTCTTGGACTTTCTTACACCTATTTGGAGTTTATTAACATCTCTATATCAAATTATAAACCACGAGGTACAACGTGGAGACTGCTTAAGCTCTGGGCCCCTCAGTTCCATGGGCCCCTTTTAAGGACAGGCTTGGAAGGACCCAATGTGCTCATAGGGGCATATGCTTTTGTAAAATTTTTGTAGATAAGGCAGCTTTGGTGCAGTCAGTTAAGACTACTCTCTCTTTTTGCCCAAATGCTCCTTTGCCGCATTGTCAGATGATGTTGGAGTGGATCTGAGTGAGGGAAACTTGACGTGGGATACATTTCATTTGGGTTTTGGAATAGATTTATGTGTCTGTAGTCTCTCCCACCTGTAATTCGTTTTTTGCCAGCTGTCCTGGTGTAGGAGCGCCCCGCCACCCTCCGTGCTGACATCTGGTGTAGGGCACAGTATGTGACATGATGGAACAGGGCAACGCGTCATATCACAGTGGAAACGTGCCCTGAAGAGGCTGCCACTGAGACTGTGTGGGGGGTGGAGAAGGAACAAGGCATGAAAGCTAAGGAGCCAGAAGCTGGTGTGTACAAAATTCTTCCAGGCGTCAAACAGGTAAAATCGTAAGCAGAGGATTTGGTTGTCATTAACCCTAGTCAACATGGAAGTTCTTTCAGGAATGTTCTTGCTAAGGCTGTGCATGTAATTACAAACACCAACTGTTTTTTCTTTTTTGATGGACAGTGGGCAAAATGAAACTTATCAGGATTCTCATAGAGCACAAATATGTAACAGGAAGACAAATGAGGATGCATGTGTGAGTGGAGTCCTAGGTTTCATGCATCAGATCACATCGTAGCATATCTGACACATCTTGTCTTGACAAAGTCTGGTGGTTGCAGAAAAAATAAAGTGCCACATTGCCACCAATGCAGTGAAACAGCCTGAAGAAAACACACATACACACCACAGAGCAAGGACGCAAAACAAAGGATGCACTCAAGAGAGAAAGCATGACATGAAATAAGATGCCAGAATGAGGACTAAACCTATCCATCATGCGCCATCAATAAATGCAAATGGGGTAAGCCTTGTTTGGAAAGGAAATCCATGGTGTGCCTTTGTATCAGACATCTCTTAATGCCACAGCAGAGCCCTCATCCCCATAAGCCTCCAGGGCCTTTTACCTATCCTGTCCTAGCCTCTCAGCAGTCACCAGCTCTGCTTGGGCCCCGAATGACTTCATGCAGAGACAACCCCCCACACCTCACCTCATGGCCACCCTGTACCACGTGTCCCCAGAGACACTTGGTGCCAAGGGTGGTCTTTAAAAGAAGACTCTTAGGGCAGGATTGTGAAATTGGAGTACCGACTGTTCTGAAGGCAATAGGGACACTATTGCTGGTGGTAAGTGGGTGGTGATAACCCTCGGCATGAAGTGGCATCACTATTACTAAGGTTTTCATCTGTGGTTAATTGGGGTGAGGTGCGGGTTGAAGGTGAAATTGAGCTGGGAAATGGAATGCCTGTACCGTTTGTCTGGACGGGGCCTATAATAATTATAAGAAATGTAGAGTAAGCCGGCTTTTATTGACAGCATAAAAAACCTTGCGGAAAAGAAAGCGATAGGCTCAGGGTAGCTAACAGCCAACTTAAGGACGTGTAAAAGCCATGGGGAGCTTTATGGTGGGTTTTAAGGAGGCCCTCATCTCCTGCAGCTTCAGGGAAACTGCTAAAAGTCAGGCTCAGCAGCTGACCGTAAGGGTGACAGCTGCCAAAGGAGGCTGAACGTGCAGCTGTGACAGATCACCTGTCAGATTCAGGCTCTACCAGAAAAAGAGTGGGACCCTGGGATAGGAACATTGGGTAGATGAGCCAGAAAACCTTGAACCCTCTGATACCCTGGAACTCTCCAGGCCAGCAGAAGCGGCCAGCCCCTGCCCTAATGTGGAGATGGTGCAAAGACCTCCCTGGAAGCAGATGCCTTGCAAGATGTCATTTGCTTTTCGTAAGATCTGCGTCCATCACCACTCATTGCCTCCAGGCCAACAGTCAGAATCGGATCGCCACAACCTGAGCAGGAAGGTACAGTTCCTACTCCCAGAGGATCAGCTTACACACCCCAGGAATCACAGGAGCTGGCCAGCACGTGCCTTGGGGAGCTAAGGAGAGCCATGTGGCAGTGGATCTGAGATGAGCGACCAGGGGGAGTGGAATCTAAGGCTGGATTAGAGAGAATTTATTGATGTGGGGCCTTCACCTGCGATGTGGCATTCAATACTCTAGCAAGGATACCTGGAGCTAGTCTTAATAGTATGTGCAGATGGCTACAAAACTTCCACATGACAATGAGGTGGGGATGCCAGAACTTTCTTCACACAGTATTGAGGAAGTGGTTACAAGGCTCAAAGAGAGGAGAATTTTAGAAGGGATTTACTAGGTAAGATCTGAGACCGCACCATCTGACTAGGCCCAGGAAGGCCCAGAGGCAACGAGGAAGGACTGGACCACTGCTGTCTTTGAGATGCCCTGTGGGGTTGATGGGAATAGATACTACCATGGAACCAAACGCCCAAGTAAAAGAGGATATACACATATATCAAGAGTTGGTGAGTTAAAGGCTGATGTCATCCATTGCTATGGAAAATGGCGGCCCCTTGTCAATCCCCAGGCCTGAGTCAGTTTTCAGACCCCAAGTCCATTGAAAGGGGGCCTGAGTTCCCTCAAGGAACACGGAGAGGTTTTTTCTCACACCAACCACTTCAATTCTCTGACACCATCCAGGTGTCCTACAATTCAATTCAACTAGGACACTTCTAGGATCTGGTGTCAGACTCCATAGGTTGAAGGGCTCCATCCCACATGGCTGCCCTCTGCTTCGGACGCCAGTCTCAAGCATCGGGTCCCCAGGTTATCCACACTTCTGTCTGACTTGACCACAAACTCTGGGGTTCCCACAGCTCCCCCCCTCAGGTTAGGTAATTTATTAGAACAACTCACAGAACTTAGGAAGATGCTATATTTACTATTACGTACAGTTGTTAGAAAGGATATGAATGAACAGCCAGAAGATGGGCAGAGGGCGAGGTCTGGAACAGTCCCAAGTGCAGGAGCTTCTGTCCCCTTGGAGTTGGGGTGTGACCCGCTCCTGGCACGTGGATGCGTTCACCAACCCGGAAGCTCTCCAGGCCTCATCATTTAGGGTTTTTTATGGAGGTTTCATCACATAGGCCACATTGATGAAATCGTTGGCCAGTGGTAACTCTCAATCTCCAGTCCATGTGCCCTCCCTGGAGGTTGCGAGGTGGGGCTTAAAGTTCCAAGCTTCTAGTCAAGCCTTGGTCTTTCTGGCAACCAGCCCCTATCTTGAAGCTGTCTAGGGCCCCACCAAGACTCACCTCATTAGAACAAATGATGCTCCTATCACCCTTATCACTCAGAAAATTCCCAGGTTTTTAGAAGCTTTGTGCCAGGAACCAGGAGAAACACTAAATATTTTTCTTATTACACTACAAACACCACCACAAGTATATATGTAAATAGTCTCCCAGTCCTTCTACCAAAGGGATCTGCGGCCATTGACTGGATAACTGTGCCCTGGGGTAAGGGGCTGTCCAGAATTTTAAAGAACTGTGAAACATGGGGATCTGCTGACGCGAATACCCAAGGACCCAGAACACCATTATGATTGTCCTATTAGAGTGGGCTTCTAGGAGTTAGGCAGCAAATGGAATTTTGACCCAGCTCTATCTTTCAGTTGGTCTAACGGGTCTGTGGAATGACCCTGTGATAATTCCCCTAGTTCCCAAATTTATAATCTGGGAAGATTTACTTGGAAGCTAGCAGGAAGCTCACATTGGTTCGCTGACCTGAGGACCAGGGGCCACTGTGGTGGGAAAAGCCTGGGGAAGCCTCTGATGCTGCCTTCTCATCCCCTAGACAAGGTGGTAAATCAGAAGTAATAGCCCACCCTGGGAGGAATTGCAGAGTAGTGCCACTCTCAAAGACTTAAAGGACGCAAGGGTGCTGGGCTCCATCATATTATTGTTCAGTTTAACCTTTTGTTCGACCTTGTAATGGTTGATTTTTGCTCTGATACTCCCATTGGGCTGGCCTGGACCTTGTCAGATCTGCTTCACTCTCTGAGGCTCTCCCTGGCCCATCCTGCTTCCTCTCCACCTTTCCATTCATAGGTGTTGGGTCTGCATTGTGGTCTGAAGGCTTTGCTTGCCCAATCCTGCTTCTCCCTCTTTTTAGCTTTCACAGGTGTTAGGTCACAATAAACCCCTTGCGTTCCAATCCCATCTCAGTGTGAGCTCCTGGAGGCCCCTCCTGGCAAGCCCCAATGTCAGTTGCCCTGCCTGGATCAGATCAACCCAGCCTCTGGCACTTTGTTGGCAGCCACAGAGCTGATGAGTGCATTCTTCTTGATCCTCATTAGTTGAGAGAATCAAAATCTGCTTGCTTTTATGTGGGAAGGACAGCAGTCCACAGTCACATTTTTTCTCCTGGGCTATGACATCTCTTTTGCTCTGTGTCACAAATCAGATCACAGACACCTCAATCATCTCATCCTACAGAACCTTGGCTTAGTCTGTTATGCTGATGACGTCATCCTAATTAGATGTGGTGAGCAGAAATTGGCAAGTACCCTAGACGCTTTAGTAAAACACATGTGACAGAGAGAGAAAGCCCGTAAAGAATTCAAAAGTCTGCTACATTGGTGAAATGTCTAGGAATCTAGTCTTGCATACACTGAGACATTTCTATTAAAGCAAAGGACAAACTGTTGCACCTCGCACCTAAGAAAGAGCACCGGGCCTGGAGGGCCTCTTAGGGACTGGAGTCAGTGGACATCACCCTTGGCAACACTGCTGTGATCTGCATGTGGGGGGCGCTCAGAAGACTGCCAGTTTCAAGGTCCCAGAGCAAGAGAAGACTGACAAAGACAAGGCAGCAAAAACTCAGATCTCTTGGGGATGAAGGTGTGGGTCACTCTATCAGGCAAAGCAGCCAAAGCACGAGCTGAGGAGAAAGGAAACCCAGGATGGGTGGTGGGACATGCTGACTATAAATCACAGCCTCGGGGACAGCCGGGAGTGTAGCTGGTTTCATTGATCTTCTTGCCTTAAGTCTTTTCAGAGATGTGTGACTGGCCACCTCCTTGAAGGAAATTCTGAGACTAAGGGTCTCACAAAACCCAGCATAGGATAAAGGTGCCATTGCAAGTCAGCAGGGAAGAGAGACACAGATCAATAAATGGCATCAGGACAATTGAATCCCAAGAGATTGAAGATAAAAATTTTAAAGTACTGTAAAAATGCCAGAAGAAAGCATGGTAAAAAGTTTATTAACCTCAGTGTGGGATGAATTTTCTAAACAAAATCTAAAGTCTCAGCTGTAAAAGAAGAGCCTGGTAAATTTGGCTCCCTAAATCTTAGAATTTCTGCATGGATGTGCCAATGGCATGAAAACGGGAGTACCATTGTTCTAGATTTATAAATGGCTTGTAAATAAATTAAAAGATGCTCAACCTTATTCCTAATTAGAGACAGGCAAATAAAACCATCGATGGGGTTGGGCATCTTTTAATATAGTTTATAAGCCATTTATATTTATATTCTCTGTGAAAGCCAATTTTTGCTTTCATCCGTATTTTCCCACAGTTTGGTAAAGATCAGAACATTTGATAATATAAATTTGGCTACAAGGTGGATAAATAGACACTCACATACGTTTCTGGGGAAAGTACATGCATTTATTGCTGTGACTTTTTTGAAAGGACACTTGACAATGTCTATTAAAACTACAAACACACATGCCTTTTGACCCAGCAATTCTATTTCTAGAAATAGAAATATTTCTAGGAATATATTCCTACATGTGTGGAATGTCATATATGTGAGCACTGTTTGGAATAGCAAAGTCCTAGAAACAACCTAAATGTCCATCCAGGGGGGACTGGCTAAACAAATGATGAAATATCAATTCAAAGAAATACTACGCAGCCATAAAAAAGAATGAGACGTATATATAGTACACAACATATGTGTGTTTGCATGTAATGTCAAGATATTTCACTCTTGTTAAGTAAAATCAGCAAGGTACAGTAAGTACAGTGTGCCCAACAAGTCGCTCATTCAACAAATGTTGGAGACTTTCTCTATGCCAGGAACTGTCCTAGGTACTGGAGAAATAGAGGTACAAGTGAGCTGAGCGGTAGGGTTTGGAATCTATGTTTTACTCTAAAACTTGTTCTCATTATGTTAAAAAAGGATATATATTTATATATATAAATGCATTTCTTTTTGCATGTGTGCTTGTACATAATCTTTCTGGAAGGAGAAACAAGAAACTGATACTAGCAACTGCCTCAGGGGGACTGGGGCTCCGGGGTGGGAAGCTGACTTATGTTTCACAGTGTATCTTTTTATGCTGTTTGATATTTTTACCATGTACATGAATTATTTTTTCAATTAAAAACTAGTTAATTTTTTAAACTGTGGAAACATCTTAATATTCAATCTCAGCTGTAATCAGAGAAATGCAAATTAAAAACATCAGGGAAATAAGATTTTTTAGGAAGGATTTAAAAACTCATAAAGCTCACAGTTGATGAGGATGTGAGAAAATGGATTTGTGTATTGTTTGCATGTTTCATTTGCGGGAACGAGCATTGGTAAACCTTTCCTGAGGATTGCTGGATGTTTTTTATATCAAAGGCCTTAACTTTTTTAGTATATCCTTGTTCCAACCATTCTGCATCCACAAATTTCCCCAGAGGAAAGAGTCAGGGACAGGTGCAAAGATGAAGCTATAAGGCTATTAGACTCAGCGTGTGAATAATAGGGAAATTATAGGAGCAATTTAAATTCTAATAAGAATCATTTATTTAAACTATGGTATATCCGTACCATGGAATTGTATGACTATACTTAAAATACTGTTAAAGCATATTGAATGACATGCAAAAATGGTATCAATTTATTGCTAGGTGAAAATGAAGTTATAAAAGAGAGTGTTCCCTATTCCAATTTTGGCACAAATATATATATACACATACACACATATATATAAAGACAGAAAAAATATTAACAATAGTTAATAAATCATAAGTGATTTACAGTCTCTTCTTTTTGCTTAAAGTGCATTTTTAAAATAATTTGTAGGCGCTGGCCCAGTGGCACAGTGGTTAAGTTCACATGCTCCGCTTTGCCGGCCTGGGGTTCGCCAGTTCAGATCCCAGGTGCAGACCTATGTATCGCTCATCAAGCCATGCTGTGGCAGGCGTCCCACATATAAAGTAGAGGCAGATGGGCACTGATGTTAGCTCAGGGCTAATCTTCCTCAAAAAAGAAAATAATAATTTTTACTTTTTGGACCTCAAGTGCATGTAATCAAATTACACGCACTTTGTTTTTTAGATTCTTTTTGTGTGTGTGTGTGAGGAAGATCAGCCCTGAGCTAACATCCGTGCCCATCTTCCTCTACCTTTTTTTTTTTTTTTATATATGTGGGACGCCTGCCACAGCACGGCTTGATAAGTGATGTGTAGGTCCACATCTGGGATCTGAACCGGTAAATCTCGGGCCACCAAAGAGGAGTGTGTGAACTTAACCACTGCACCACTGGCCCTAGATTATGATTCTCAGAGAAGAGCACACCATCATTGTTTAGCCCATGCATGGTCACTTTCATTATATTTACTTTGATTGTTTCTGTGTGCATTTCTCTAAGGAGCTCCCACGTATCCACCACCCAGCAAGAATATTGCCAATAACTGTCTACAGCTGCTCGCCTTTCCATCCCCATCTTCCCACAGCTCAAACTAACCACCATTCTGAATTTTGTTCTCATCATTCCCTTCTTTTTTTTGATTTTTGATTTTTTAAAAATTGGGGTAAAATACACATAACGTAAAACTTAACACCTTAACCATTCTAAGCGTGCAGCTCAGCAGCATTAAAAACACTCAGATTGCTGTGCTGTCACTGCCATCCATCTTCCGAACGTATTTCATGTGGCAAAACGAAAACTCCGTACCTGTTAAACAAATAACTCCCCATTTCCCCCCTACCCCAGGCCCTGGCAACCACCATTCTACTTTCTGTCTCTGTGAATTTGACCACTTTAGACCCCTCCCGTAAGGGCAATCATACAGTATTTGTCCTTTTTGTGACTGGGTTACTTCACTTAGCACAGTGTCCTCGAGTTCATCCATGTTGTAGATGTGACTGAATGTCCTTCCTTTTTAAGGCTGAGTGATATTCCATTATATGTATACACCATCTTTTGCTCATTCATTCCAACATCAATGGACACTTGGGTTGTTTCTTTTCTTTTCTTTTTTTTTTTTTTTTTTTGCTTGAAGAAGATTAGCCCTGAGCTAACATCTGTGCCAATCTTCCTCTATTTTATATGTGGGTTGCCTCCACAGTGTGGCTGATGAGTGGGGTAGGTCTGCACCTGGGATCCAAATCAGCAAACCCAGACCACCAAAGCAGAACACGCCGAACTTAACCACTACACCACGGGGCCAGACTTGGGTTGCTTCTATCGCAATTTTGACTATCACGAAAAATGCAGGTATTACGGTGTTGGAAAGCATATATATAAACCATGGAGTCCACAGTTATTAACTATGAGCTAATTCTTATTAATCTATAATAGCTCCTCAATCTAAATACTTCCCTAAAAGGTCATTTGAAACGCCATCTTTGTCATATCCTTTTTTTTTTTTTTAAAGATTTTATTTTTTCCTTTTTCTCCCCAAAGCCCCCCGGTACATAGTTGTGTATTCTTCGTTGTGGGTTCTTCTAGTTGTGGCATGTGGGACGCTGCCTCAGCGTGGTCTGATGAGCAGTGCCATGTCCGCGCCCAGGATTCGAACCAACGAAACACTGGGCCGCCTGCAGCGGAGCGCGCGAACTTAACCACTCGGCCACGGGGCCAGCCCTTGTCATACCCTTTTTTAAAAAACATCTAATTCAAATATTTCTCGGCTTTTCCTTCTGGTCCACTGATTCATCCGTGTGGTCCCACACTGTTTTAATGTTTGTAGTTCAATGAGGTATTCCAGTAACCAACAGAGCAAGTTCCTCTTTGTAACTCTTCTCAATTTGACCTTGAATTCCCCCCTGCACCTATTTTTCTAGGTATATCTACCTATTCTAGACCGATCAGTGCCCCTGGAGTGACAGTCACCCCCCAGGGCTTAGGGCATTACGATGCTGGGCCTGGCAGGCAGGTCCTCCCTGCCCAGCAGGAACGTCCATGTAGAGCACAATCTGAGTGACAGCAAGTCCCACAGACTGTTTGAAGCCAGGTATCCCTAAGGAGATTCCCATTTATTGCCAGACACGTTCCAGAATATTCAAGAGTGTCTTTTTCTAATTGGTCGTCCACTGCTCCTCACCCTGGTGTGGTCGATTTGCCCAGAGCACTCAAAATTTCCCTGTTTCTAGGAAGAGAATAAAACTTCCCTGGACTGGAAGCCTCCACGCTGGGCGCAGGTTGGCCCGGGGCAGCGGCTGTGGCAGCCGCGCCTGAGACTCCCGGCGTGGTGTTCGGTGTTTCTATCCGCGATGCTGTCTGCAAGACTCTTGAGTTTTAGAAAATAAACATTCTCATATGCAAAGTCGTAAATGTTGTCACCCTGACTGTGAGGGAAACCCCTGACAGAGCAGAGGGGGGACAGGCCCGTGTGATTTCCGTGAGCATCACTTCAGGGGCCTCCAGCCACATTCCCCTGCCCTGACCACCGGACACCGTTCTGCCCGATCAGACAGGCTGTCTGCTTCACCTGGTCAGTTCTGAGTGGATTTAAACCTTCATTTGTCTTAAGTACCTACAGACGAGTAAATTATCGCTGTAAAGAAATGGGTGGTGTTAAAAGGGAACGTTTGGGGCCGATCTTGGAGAAACTCTACCGCTTTATTTCTGCTTTGAGGGTAGTGTTATGGAGCTATCCTGTCGACTTTTCCCTGAAAACTGTCTGGACTGGATATGGGGGAACAAAGAAAAGTGATCACTTCTTGCACTCTGCCCCCTCTCCCCCGCAGTGGCCCACATCCTGTCCCAGTGGGTTATGTTGATCTGAGAAGAGTCAGGGGCCTCACAAATCCACTTGTGACATTTGCTACATAAGAGTTTGTCTTAAAAATTTGTTATTTATTATTTTTTAAGATCTACACACTCGTAGAAAATTTGGAAAACATAGAGACGTATGAAGAATTAAAATCACCCATACTCCTCCATTCAAAATAATTTGTTAACATTTCAGTGAATTTCCTCCAGGCGATTTTTTATGTATAGCTGAGATCGTTCAGTACATACACATTCACTTCCTGATTTCCACTTACTGTATAATTAAAATAGTCCCTAACATAATTTTAATAACTGTGCAAAATTGTATTTTATGCATGTGTAATTTGTGAAACCATTCTCCTGTTGCAGGACATTTTAGTCATTTCCAAGCTTTCGTGTTTATAAACGTAGCAGGGTCTGGAAGTGCAATGCAACTATATCTGGGGTGTGGGGAGAAAAATGTAGCTCTTTCATTTTTTCTCGTCTTCCCACGTCCTAGTCTCTAGCTGGTGTGGAAAAAAGTTACCTTTAAAATCTTAGTCTTATCCAATAATCTTTACATGCAAGATCCATCCTTACAAAAAAACTGGTCAATCGTCCACTCCTGTCCAAAAGGCCTGTGGGGAAGGTGGAACGCGGGAAGGGGTGTGGCTTCTGGGACCCAGGGGCAGGGGTGGGCGGGAGACTTGGGGTCTTCGGCCAGGGGTTTACTGAGGCCCCTTCTGAGTCAAGAGAGATGTGGCGTCACAGTGATGCCCTCTGGCAACTTCACAGCCCGTTCTCAGCGAGGTCAGGATGCGCCCACCCAGAGGAGCACCGCGGAGGCTGGGGAGCCGCAACTGCAGGGCTCCCCGCCTGTCAAACTGCGTTTGGATTGGATGTGACCGGGCCGCGGGTAGTTACGGGGCTTCCTCGGACGCAGCCTCCCCCAGGGGCTCCACGCGGGAAGAGAGGCAGAGCCGCCTCCCCAGGCGGGCCACGGACTTCCTGACTCATCTAACTCGGGTCTCCTTTCTGCCTGACTTGCGCCTCCTCCTCGCCTCCTGTGCTTTCATCTTCCCACTCTCCCCATGGCCTGAGACAGGCGGGTCTCACCCTGCTCTGCCCCACGTCCCTCCAGTGTAGGGCAGCCGGCCTCTTGGTCTGCCTTCCAGAGCTAGAAGGATTACCTTCTCTGCTTCCGGAGGACCCCACAGGCTGAGGGTCTTGTGTGCTTGGCTGTTGAAATGCTTAAGAGAGGGCCTTGCACGTGTGCCTTGGATCAAAAGGAAAGAATTGAGAAGAATTTCTCTTTAGACAAACACCTGTTTTGCAAGGCAAAAGTCTCGCTGCATAATTCTGTTTTGAATGTCAGAAGCTGGATATTAATTCCTTTTCTCCTTGCTTTCTGTAATTTTGCATTTCACTGAAGTGAATGCCATCAATTGTAAGATGCGCTATTTCAGGTATTCCCAAGAAAGAAAAACAAGCTGCCGATTAAGTTGCAAATAATGCTTTCTTATCATTTAGAATTTTGGCTTATACTTATTGAAAAAGCTCTTTTTAGACTTATCGAGACATAAATTTTTATGTAGGGAACAAGGAAAATAGAAGTGAAATAAGTTGGAAAGGATTTCTAAAACTTCTTTACAGAAGAGACGGATGAAGAGAACGATGCTTCTGAGTCCGTTTTCAACTCAGAGTTGGGTGATTGCGTCTTTCTCCGCAGTATTGCTGTCTGTGCGTTGAGTGTTGTTGACACAGACTGTCTTACCCCAGAGATGAAGAGACCTGCCACTGCCCCTGGGATCTTCTTCCAAACCGCTGGCACCCATCCATCCGGCAAGTCTTTACGCTGCACCTGTCCAGCCTTTTAAAATCCTTATAGAAGGTGTTAACAGAAGGTTTTCAGACCAAGTTTGCACATGTGCAGACAATGACAGCCATATCATGACTGTCGCCTAGCCAACAGCTATTGTCAGCCAACACTGATTGTAGAGCAAACCCC